GTCGTGACAGTGGACCTGAGCCACAATCCTTCACAACCATGGTCTATGACCATGAAATCACTGTCACTCCTGCCTTACTGGCATCAGTTCTCTCTCTCCCTCACTCTGGGATTCTTGCCAGCTACGAGAGTGATTTTGTTGAACATGGGTTCGACTTCCTTGCTGCTCTTGACCAAGTAACACGTGACACTGGCAAGGCCTTCCCCACTCGACTCTCAGCTGGTCGTCTTCCTGACGATCTAAAGGTCCTTCATTTCTTCATCACACGATGCTTCCTTCCAAGAGACGTTACTAGTGCTGGTCTTCTCCACTCTGACGATCTCTGGATTCTGAGCAATGCTTGTGCTCGTCAACCTATCAGTTATGCATCCTTGATGTTCGCGCATATACTCAAATTCGGTGGTGGTGGCTACAGTGGTGCTTTACCCTTTGGACCTCTCATCACTCGTTACTTGCATCGCCTAGGAATAGATCTCTGGGATAAGTTGGCAGTTTGCAACATCCATGATGATTTGCGTCCCAATCATGTTCTAGTTCGCCTTGATGCCGACGTTGGCCGCCGTAAGCTCGTCTCTGGCTCAGGGGGAGACTCAACTCACTGCCCCATTTTCTCTCCTGCTGATCCCATCTCTGACAGTCTACTTCCAGCCCTAACTCAAGCTGCTGTCACAGCCATAGATGGTGAAGTGAAACGAAGAAAGGAAACTGGTAGTGGAAAAACTACCAGCCTGTTGGTATGCAAAGAACGTTTGGAACTCATGGACTTTGATGAAGCAAGGCCTGCTCCAGACGACTTTGATCCAATTACTCCTGACTCAAGCTCTGATGATGAGATATCAGATTATGAGTCACCTCCTGGTTATCCCTTCTAGAGAATTGATGGTGGTACTTAGGGGGAGTCACGAGTTGTGACTAGGGAAGTCTTGTAGTTCGTTCAGTCTATGTTTGAATGGTGTCAGTATCAAGTTGGTTTTCCAGTTGTTTGATTGTTGATTTGAATTTCGAAATTTGTATTTCTGTTGAACTGATTAATCATGAATAAAAACTTCCCTTGCCAGCACTTTGCATAGAACAGACTGCACCAAGAGTTTGCTAAGTGTGTGCAGGAAAGAAACTAGTGCAGTAGAGAGAGCCATTGACAAGCTTAGGGGGAGCATGTTAAGGGAAGCTCGTCAATAGGGAAAGAATCAACAAATCAAATCAAGACAAAGATGGAAATTCTCAAAGAAGGAAACATGGAGCTAAATCACAGCAATTCAAACCTCAATCAGACAACGACTACTTTGAAGAAAGTAGACTATATAACCACGAGGTTGAGCAATGGAGAAAGCAGAGTTTTCCGGCAAATCAAAAGAACAGAGTGTTGAGTGAACAGTGGTGAACTTTTGATAAGAAAACTCGGTTAGCTAATTGGAGAGAATAGCTTGTGAATCTGAGTGAACAATCAGGGAGATTAGAACTCAGTATTGGTGTTAGGCTGATTGGCAGGGTGCTGATCATCCTAAACTGTGCAATTGTAATCACGATCAAGGAAACGATCTAGTAGATTCGTAGGAATCCTCAAGAGGAGAGATTCCTACCGTGGATTAGTCAATATTGGGATCCTTCTTCTCCCAATATCGGATACCACGTAAAAACTGTTGTGCTGTGTTTGTGTTCTCCATTTTCGAGCTTTGGTTTATACTCTGCTTGTGTGTTTGGTCACTGTGTTCAGAAACAGGGGAGTCTTCGAAGCAGGGAGGTAAGCTTGATCAAAGGAGAGGAGCAAACAGCAGGCCGAGCAAATTTATTCGGAGGCCAAGCCAGTCTACTTGTGAATAAACGAGTGGGCTTCAAGCCCAAAATTCTTGCAGATAATTATTAGTTTGTTTTGGTTCAATTATTATCATTTCAATTTTCTTGTCTTGCACAAATTCATTACTCAAACCCTAGAACTGAAATTCCTCACTTGTTCAGCAACTGTGCCGATTAGGGTTTTGTAGGAACTTGACTTCTTCAGTTCAGGCGGATCAGGAGGCGGAAGGTCTCGCGCTCGACCCACTTACACGCAGCACCAGATCCTTCACCGTCCATGGAGAACGCCGGAGAGTCCGAGTCCGAGTAGCAGCATCAGTGACGATAAAGCGCCACAAGCCTCTATCCGCCTCATGCACAATGATGTGGTTATTTGCCGACCCCCACATCCCATTAGCAACATTCTCCAGTGTCGACCGAGCCATCGGCTGAGGAGAAAACAAATGCCCAACGAAGGAGATTTGTGCCTGTTCCGGACCGATGTCAACGTCATCATCCTCAAAATCAACCACCTGATCAATATCCATGGGATCCATGCTTGCAACAAGACGTTGAATCGGATGTACTGAGAACAAATTAAAAAACCAGATGAGAAGCACACACAGAGAATTCCAGAAACAGATGAGCAGTATGCGAAACATAAGATTACCGGTTACGGAGAACACAACAATTTGCACAGAAAACTGTAACTTGCCAAACCCGAAAGAACTGACCTTAATATAAACCAGAAGCGAGGGGGATACCCTCGGCTGACTAAGTAGCCACGATGGGGAAGATCGTGTTACCCATGCATCGAGCGCCGAGGAAACGGCGGCGACTTCATCGGAATAACCGTCACGGAAGGAAACTGGAGAGTCGGAAGCTCTCCACATTGTTTTTTCAAAATCTCTCAAAGGCAGTCCACCTTTTTTGTTATGGTTGCATTCATCACAAAATCCCACTTTTGTGACGAACTTTTTTGTCACGAATGACCAATTGTGCAACTGTGCATGGTAGCAAAAACTGAAAAATTGGTGATTGGTGATTATATCTTTGGGACTTTTGCTGATGAGGTGAAATCACAACTGCTTACTTTTCGTGACAATACCATTGCCACATATATGTTCTTGATGACAAATATTGTTGACACAAATATATATTAAACATAATGCAATGGATTTTAATAAAAGCATTTATACTTATAAAAATAAATAAAAGAAAATTACATTGACGAATCTCGTATCTATCTGCAATATGAACTAAGAGACTAATGAGAATCTAGATGTTCAGATCGTATGAAAAACTTCTGTAACTCTTGACTAAGCAACACTTTTCTAGTTTCTTCCTCAAAACTTTACTTGGAGACCAGCTCTTGATTCCATCCAGTCTCTCCTGGCTACTCAACTTAATTTGCGAGAATCTCTTGATGAAATTCTACCCACAACCCCTCCTTAACTCCTTAGTTAGAATCTTGAGAAGGGGAGCTCACTAGAATTACTTGAAACCTGTAAATCACAATTATGGTAGAGCCCCAAATAGAAAATTGCAATGAACAAGTAATCAGTTAACAAGGAAAATCAAAGATGAATTGTTGTTCCTTAGTTTCTCGCCAAAACTGGAGATTTCGTTTGGACAAAAATAAATATTGAGCAAAAGGAGAAATACATAGCAGGCAGAGGAGTAATGTACGTTCGAGAAGCAGCATCTGACGTGCAATGACGAAGAACGTGAGTGGTCAATGAGACTAGTTGCTTCTATATTGAGACTTCCCAGATTTGCTGGGAAGTATGGAAAAAGAGGAGAACTTGGGCAGAGATGGTGTGAGAAAACCGATTAAGTAAAAAGGGTTTTATCTAGTTGAAAACGTAGGAAGATTGTGATTTGATATGAAAACATAATATTTACTAGAAAAATCAGGGATTAATTACTTAATTAATTTCCCTGTGTAAGTATATCCGCATAGGAGTCATTCAATTCCCTTCCCTATCGATTAATTATGCAATTTTAAATAGTTTTATTACTTCTCTTAAAAAATTAATATTATTTGTTTGTGTAACTACTATGAACTAACACAGATTTTGTACTTATCTTTAATATATACCTTTTAGTTGACAACGTAATCAACCCAATGGTTTTTACTTTTTTTTCTGAAAGAATGGGGTTTTACATTTTATTTATACTTGGGTGGAAAACTTATTTAACTACGTTATGTTTACTTAACTTAAGACGACTAAGCAATTTGGATCACAAGCAATTTTGTGATTTTGTAAAAAAAGTGTAATTTTGTGTCAAGACTTTGTTATACATATAAATTTTTGTGAACGAAATGTGTTATAATATCAGAATTTTGTGCCAAAATTATTGTTGCAGGGTCAACAACACATGTGCCAAACTTCTCCTGTCACATACATTATATTTTGGTTATGGTGTTTTTGTCACGAACATATATTTTTGTCACGAACATGTGCCAAACTTCTCCTGATACAATATACATTGAAACTGTACATTGTAAAGAATATATAGTATACATTAGTGATGATATGATTTGTCCACTTGGTAAAAACTAAGCTCGGTTCTTTTGGAAATCTTTCCTCTTTTTCTTCTTATAATCATAGCAAACACTAATTAGTTGTCAATACAAATTAAATAATATTAGTATATAAGAAATGTCAAATTAGCATAATTGTAACATTTTTTAATTAAATGTTGTAAAAAATGTAAGAATAGGTAACACAATCTGTTTTCTTATAAAGATGTTGCATTTTATTAGGAATATGCAACACAATTTTGGCTGCTACTAATTTGTGTTGCCTAACATATGTATCAGGCAACACATAATGAGAGTGTTGCATATATTTAGTTTATGTGACACTTTTAAAAAGTGTTGCATGACGAGTGTTGCTTAAAGTCACTTTTCCCGTAGTTGTGTTCAAATGACATTTCGACCAAAGAAACTACACCAAACCAAACAAAAAAGTAAGAAAAAGAAGTTTGAGAACGCGGATGGCTTTAGCCTTCCATTTACCTTTCATTTGTTGGAAGCTTCCGATCTTCAAAGCTAAACCTGCATTATTGCATCCACGAAATACAAAATGTCAACGGAAAATAAAAGAGAAGGGAGGGGTTGGATGGTCATATGTAGACAGCATTGGTAAGCTATATTATATTTGAGGATTATGAAGGGTCTCCTATATATATATACAATATAATGAACAAGTAATTTCTCAATAGTCTTCCTTCCAATTGTGAAAGCAATGAGTCCTCTAACTTCTCTGCTTATCGTCCCGGCCACCGCCTACATCGTTTATGCGGTCGTCAAATTCCTCCACACAGTGATATGGCAACCTCTCCAGACACAGCGATTCCTCAACTCGCAGGGGCTAAAAGGCCCTCCTTACGCTTTCCTCCTAGGCAACGTCAAACAACTCATTCAGTTCAGAGAGGAAGCGTTGACCAAACCCATGCCCACTCTTTCCCACGACATAGCTCACAGGGTCATCCCTCACATCTCCGCATGGACCAAGCAATACGGTATGTACGGATAAAGATGGTTTCAAATTTCAGTTCAGGGTGCTTTTGTGGGTTTATTATCCTATGCTATATTTACTTCTCGTGCTGTTACTGAGGGAATTTCGTATTATGTTTTGCTGGAAATAGGGAAGAACTTTGTGTTCTGGATTGGACCGCGAGCTCAAATGGTTCTCGGAGATCCAGATTTAGTCAAAGAAGTTCTAAGCAATAAAAATCGTATTTTCTCTAAATCCGACCTGCTGTCTCCTTACATGCAAAAGATTTTTGGCCAAGGACTTGCGATTAACGAAGGTGAAAAGTGGGCTAAGGTGAGAAGAATGGCAGATTTCGCTTTACATGGCGAGAACCTCAAAGTAAGCTCCAGATCTCAAACTTTTCTTGAAGTTCGTTTTATATTTTATCTTTGTTTGAGTTTACACTTCGAACGAGTGAAAATAATAATGTTACGAGACTACATCTCTGCCACGCTTAATTAGTTAAGTTAGTCATTTACTCATAATTATTTGAAAGTGATTGAAGTTTATAATTGAGAGGAACGGAAGTTGAGCTTTTTTCTAATGCCGACTCTTTCTTTAAGTCTACTTCTTCTTCTTTATGGAAATAAAAAGAGGGGTTCAACTTGTAAGGTTTGACATTGACTTTTTTTGTTTGACAGTAAAGACATTGACTTTCTTAGATAAAGGAAATCTCATTAGTTTGGAATCTTAAGATCATCTTAATTTTTTTAGCTAATAAATAAATAGTTTGGAATCTTAAGATCATCTTAATTTTTTTAGCTATTAGCTACTAGAGGTGGGCATGTGGGTGGGTAATATGTGGTTTAACATCTATCCACCCACAAATTAATAACTCAAACCACTGTGGATGGGTAGTTGATGTGGGTGGATTGCGAATCGATAAATCTTCTACTTGCACTTATCAAATGGGTGGGTTACAGGTCACCCGAATGACCTGCACCCCATCTTTACATAGAAAATAATTTTTTTCCTTTTTTATACTATCTAATAGTCATCTTATTTCTTAGCCGACAATACACAGTACACACTGACCATCAACTTCTAAAATCATAAAAATAAAGACTAATTTTGGCTACTACTATTGGTTACTATGTAATGTAATATCCATTGGGTAGTGAGATGCAAATAATAAACAATTAATTGAATCCAAGTCGGAAAAACAAATTTCTACATAATTAGTTTTTGAAGTAATGAAAGATTTGAAAGAAGTACTAAACATTTTCATAGGAGACAAATTGAGAGGTGTCTAAATTGATGCAGTCTTGCTAATTTGCGAGGAATTTATTATAGATGCTAGTCAACTTGCCTAATTATCAGTCACATAATTGTGTTTGCGGATTAACCCACAACTCAATCGCATTCATCCACCACCCACCCAATCCAACCTGATGAAATTTGTGGGTGTGCTGCGGGTTACAATTGTACCAACTCATTGAATTGGTAAGTGGGTGAGTCAGTTTAAGAGCGAAATTCACCCAATCACCTATTTCCCCGCCCTAATTGCAATATCAAAGTTAGGGAAAATAAGTGCTCATTCGGATGAGTAACTCTAGAGGGTTAATTTGTCTCAATTTTCATGTTTTGAGATAATTAGGTCAAATTGACCCGTTTGGCAACATTAACTTTTGATGAAACAATTTGGTCTGAATTTTTTTTAATTGACTTGTTTGTAGGCAACTACAATGGTCTGGAGTGGGAGCAGGTGATTCAATTGGTTTGTTTTAAATGAGTCCTTTTGTAAAATGAGATAGTTGACCAATTATATCATTTTCTAATTGATCGAAACAATCCGAAATTTTTTCCTAAAAATTATTGTTATGGAAAGCTGTGAACACCCAACTACTGTTATAGTTGACCAACTGAAAAGGACTGCTTCACATATAGTCATATGGTGGTTATGACCATTATTTAAGACCTATTATCATATATATATTTTTTTATATGTATCATTATCATGGGCCTATATATGGGTTGGTGTTTGGTACGGCGCATATTTATGGAATTCACATAAAATGCAAAATTAAATAGTTATAAATAAACATATCGAAAGTGACATTTGATTCTTTGCAGAGTATGGTACCGGACATGATTGCTAGTGCAGAGAAAATGCTAGAGAGATGGAAGATGAAGGAGGGGAAAGAGATCGAAGTTCATGAAGAATTCTGGATTTTGTCGTCGGAAGTGATTTCCAGGACAGCTTTTGGAAGTAGCTTCAAGGAAGGACAACAAATATTTGGCATGCTCAACGAATTGACGAAAATTTCCGATAGGAATACATTCAAAATGAGTCTTCCAATAATTAGGTATGTACCTCTGTCATCTCTGAGTTCAAGTGGTTGCATATATGATTATGCATGACAAGAAAGTCTTGATGAATCGTAACCTACAATTGTAAGGGATTTTGTTTATAACACAAAATGACATTGATGTCGAAAAACCTTTTTGTTTATTTCTTTGATTGATTGATTCACACGAATGTTGTACTTACAATATATAAGCTAGAAAATCCTAACACGTAACCTAGCCAAATCCAAACCCCACTACTAGTCTATAGCCAACCTGGCCACACAATGAACAAGACTCCTAATTGGCCACTAAACTACTTGGCCACTAACCTAGCTAAATCCAAAGTCATTCAAGATTTACTATGATTTTAGGATTTTTGGGGGTTTGGGTTTGTGTTCAAAATTGAAGGCTTAGGGGTTAGGGTAATGGATTAATAAGTTTTTATCATATGTTATATCATCATTTCAGACTAATGTAACCAATTAAAATTCAAAATTTATTGTCTTAAGGCTACTTGTAGAGTTGGGTGCATTGAATGCACTCATTTTTGTGGGTGCACCGAAGTAGCCACCTATATTACATATATCTACCATAATTGTATAGTTTTGAGCAATCATACATAACAACTGTGGCAGACCCACGATTCTCATATAGGTGTGTCAGTTTATAAAATTAAATAAAATAATAAAATAAATTTTAATTATATTTTACTGTGAAAAACAACGAGAAGTGGATTGAAAGAGGTAAAGGGAATATTGGGGTTTTTTTATAAGATAGTAGTTCATATGCAATCTGACTCCCAATCTAAGAGCATTTTTGTCATTAGGTGGACAACTATGTGAAAGCTACAAGGATAAAAAAAAAAAAGAAACGAAACTTATTCATCAGGTAGGGAGAATAAAGAGAACTTCCTTACGATTACCCCTGCGTAAGACCTAAGAGCAATAAATCATTGCTTCTAAATGCTTATACAATGGAAATTAAAGAACCCCAAATATGTCATAAGTTAACTAAAATTTAAAATAACTAATATATATTCACATATTTTGGGAACTTTATGACACCAATTTCATCGTAGTGTATTAAAAGTGTGTCGATTACAATTATTGAAGGTGTGTCGGAAGTCCGAAATTCCAAAAATTTATACCGACAAAACATGGGTTTCTCACAAAATATCCGGGCGGAGGTGTGTCGCTTGACACACCTCACTAACACTTGGGTCCGCCCCTACATAACAACCATGTATTCTATTTTGTTGATGAGCTATGTTGCGACTAAATGGGTCCGGATTAGGTCAGTAACCCTATCCTTAGTAACCGTGCGTAACCCCTTCCTCCATCCTCCACGTGTCTGCATCTGAGCCGTTCCCTTTTATTTAAATGAAACACGGAGGGGCAGTAGGGTAATTTGCATCCACCCCTCATTTAATGCTGATGACCTGACGCCTACTTTTGACCGAACGTGGACCCCACTCCCCGTCCCCCACACGTTTCCCTTTGTCACTCTTTTATCTATTATTAAAAGAAAAATTAAATTATTTCTTCTCTCTCCCATCTACAACTAAAACGAAAAAAGTACATGCTATCTGCACACTAACTCTATCTCTAAAACAAATATGAATTCAACAATCTCAGCTCTCTCTACTCCAACTCCAACTCAAATTGAATGATGATTTTTTCATTTAATAATTCTCTGCCAAGAAGGGTAATTACAAGTATGAATATGACTATCGCTTTCTACTACCATGGTAAAACATGGCAAAATATGCTAAAGAAAATTACAAATCTAATTACCATACAATATCATATGGTATAAATGCTAAAATAAAATTAGAAATCTAACTACCATACAATACCACATGGTATAACGTGGTAAAACATGTTACAAAAAATTATAAATCTAACTATTATACAATACCACCATAGTAGAACATGGTAAATCGAATGACCATAAAATAATCATAATTACCATACAATACCACATGGTAAGAGAACGTAAAACCATTTAAAAACAAATATAAATATAATTATCATCATCTACGACTATAGTAAAACATGGTATGCATAAAAATACATTTAGTTACCACACATTACCATATGATATAGTGTGGTAATCTCAATATATATCTAATTACAACTTTCTTCACTTTCTTGTCCTCTTCATTGTCTTCTGACTCTTCTTTCCCCGAATTGGGGTCGATGACCACCTTCTTACCACCATGGTAAAACATGGTAACCATAAAACTACGTTTAGTTACCACACATTATCATATGGTATAGTGTGGTAACCACAATAAACATCTTGTTACCACATAATACCACCATGGTAAAACATGATAACCTTAAAAATACGTTTAGTTACCACACATTACCATATGGTATAGTGTGGTAACCACAATAAACATCTAGTTACCACATAATACCACTATGGTATAGTATGGTGACCACAATATACATCTAAGACATACTTCACATGCTCGTCTTCTGCCTCCTCTCATTTTCTCCTCCGCGTTTGAGAACACAAAAATACGAATGAGGAAGATTGGAATTGAAAATCCACAAAAAAATACTAAAGCATAAAACATGCAAACTCGACTCACTTAGATCTTTCCCCTCTTGATCGATATGGAGCTTCACCAAATTTCAGGTCAAGGACTTGACAAAGAGAAAGCATAATGAAAGAAGGAGAATTCACTTTTCCCTCGTCCATTTCGGTGGGGGAAAAAAAGAAGAGAAGGAGGGAGAAGCTCGAGAGAAGAAGGATCTCGAAGAGAAGAAACGCAATGAAAGAAGGAGGCTGCACTTTTCTTTCGTCGATTGCCGAAGAAAAAAATGAAGAACTGAAGATGATATCAAATCTGGAGAAGAAGAAGATTGGGAGAGAGAAAGAAAGAGAAAAGAGGAAAGGAGAGTTTCAGAAAAAGAGGAAAAGTTGCATTCTCTCTCCTCTATTCAAACCAGCTAATAAATGCCGGGCAAAATAAAAAGAAAAGGTTAGATACAAAATTAAAACAACGGACAAAAATACCCCTGACCATCTCCGCATCCATCTCAACAACACGATGAATCCGTCCAAATCAACGGTTTCTAGATGTTTACTTACAGGTGAGTAACCAACTGTTACTCAACCTATCCTCAGCCGACTAAACAGAGCTAGCTTGTTACCCGGGAAAGCCATAGCGTCCTCGTCGAGTTTGAACAATTAGCAAAGATGTAGATATGATAGTTGTCTCACCGAACCGAGCCTATTATACAAAGGGAAACTGATATAAACTGTTTTCCCAAAACTGAAACCAAACCCGTTAAGGGCTAACAAAAGATTGAGAATCTCTTTAACGGGTTGGGTTTTAGTTAGAACAAATCGAAATATAACCTATATTGTATCCTTTATAATAGTTTTGGTTAGAGTAAAGTTTGGTTTATCATTGATTTCGATTTAAATCAAAACTGGTAAAATTCAAAACAATTAGGACCAAAAACCAAAAGCAATAAGATTCCTATTAGTTCGTGTTTCTGTTTAAACAGAAAAACTAAACACAATTTCCCAGCCCTAGTCTCAAGTCAAGATGTTGTATGGAGTGGTGGTGTAACTGTAACATGACGTATAAATTATTTAAATATCTTAAAGATTAGTTTAGGTACTTTAATTTACCTCTTGTATTAATATCGTATCGCAGTGACCTGTTCAAAACCAAAGACGCGAAGGATGCTGTTAGGCTGGTCCAAAGAATTGCAGACTCGATTATGGAAATCGTGAAAAATAGAGAAGAAAAGGTGAAAAACAGGGAGGTCGATGGCTTTGGGAAAGATTATCTTGGACTACTTCTCAAGGCTTATCGTGATGAAGGCCAGTCCGAGAAGATATCTGTAGAGCAATTGGTCGATGAATGCAAAACTCTATATGTGGCTGGACAGGAAACAGTAAATACTTTGCTCTCTTGGATGATTCTGCTTTTATCAATCCATCAAGATTGGCAAGAAAAGGCAAGAAAGGAGGTTTTTAGTGTATTTGGTCGTGATAAAACCCCTGATGCCAATGGGATTACGAGGCTCAAACTGGTGAGCATACTCTTTTGCCCTTTGAATTTTTTTTCTCATGAGTAATACAACTATTGATTAATATGTTTTAATAAATGCGATGTCAGTCAAATTGGATTGTGGAATCTATAAGAGTTCTTATGGAAGAAATGACTTGGAAAAAATTGAGGGAAAAAAAAGATGAAGCAAATTACATAGTTAGGGTTATTGCCACTTCATCGTGTTGTAGATATAAGTAATAGTGTACGGTTCATAATTGAATTTCTCACCGTAACTCAAGTTATTGAGAGTAAATGGTATTTGAGTTGATATAAGAGTCTTCAATTATTGAGAGATTTTATGTTCGAACCCCGACGACCTCATTTGTTAAGCAGCTTAATATGCTGATTCGTGCGAACTTGAATCCAATATGAGTTAGACTTTGTTTGAGAGACGTATGAACAATTTAAATTATTGGTAGTAAATGGTTTTGACATTGAGATCCTGTCTTTTGATATAGTTATTGGCTCTCATGTAACATACTCTCTCTTGTTTTCAATCTTCTGTTACAGATTGGTATGATCATCAATGAAACTTTAAGGTTGTACTCCCCAGTATACTCAGGATTCATGCGTGATGTCGATAAGGACATCAGACTTGGGAAGTTCGATTTGCCTGCGAGTGTCCAGTTTCACATACCAATCATGACGATTCACCACGACCCTGACATTTGGGGAGAAGATGTTCATCTTTTCAAGCCGGAAAGGTTCTCGGAAGGAGTTGCTAAAGCTACAAACAACAACCCAACTGCGTTCATGCCCTTCGGGATGGGACCCCACGTCTGTGCAGGCTTCAACTTCGCCACAAATGAGGCTAAGATAACCATTGCTATGATCCTTCAGCGCTTCACTTTCAGCCTCTCCCCGGGCTATGTCCATTCTCCTTTTCCTTTCTTGGCTGTTAGGCCAGAGAAGGGGGTTCAAGTTATCATCAATGCACTGTAAGCATAAGATAGACATTATTATATATAAACACGAAGTATTGTTACTGTTGCCTAAACTCTCTAGCTGATTGGTCAATTTTTTTAATAATAAATTAAGAATGGATTTTGGACAGGAACAGAGGCAGATTGGGGATTGGTGGAATTTTGATAATGATGTACTATTTGTATCCCGGGTTCAATCCCTACTTCTAACATTTATAATCCTTTTTTTCACTCATAGTCAAATGGTGTTGCAGGGCTTTGGGCTTCATTATACAATTATGAAGGCCCAAATTTATACATCTTGATCTTGATATCGGGTTCTATTATGCTATGATCAAATTCCAATTTCGATATACTAATCTTTAAGAAAAATTTTCATTTGATATCTCAATTAATAAAAGTTCATTAGAGAGAATTTTCAAAGACAATTCTTACTTTTTTATTTAAATCTCACTTTCTTTAGTTTCTATTATTTGTATCATTTTATTTTTTATTCTTTTAATATGTAGATTTATCATAAAATTGCTATTCAATAATGCAAGGCATCTTAGGATCAAAGATCGGATCAATAGTGTATTTCATCCGATTTTGTCTGGTTTGGTCCAATCCAAAAGTTAATTCAGTTTATTTTCTTCAGTATTTATAAAATTTATAAGACCAAGGATCGTATCACAATATATTTGATTCGGTGTGATCCGATCCAAGAGTCGGTTTGGTCCAATGTGATCCTATATAGACCAACCCGTGACACATTCCGACCGATTAGGGTTGGGTTAATTATTTAAGGAAACCGTGGGCATGGGAAACCCATTGCTACCATCTTTTTTATATAGTCTAATTACCATTTTTTTCTTTTTCTAATTATGAATAATGATTGAATGTTAAGAGAAAATTTAATATTTGATAATGTAAATACAAAATTGAACAGCAAATGCAAATTTTACCAGGTGCCATTACTGTTAACTAAATAATTACATTTTGATACCCCAAATTTAACTAAATTCCAACTTAGTCATTATAATGTAAATTTTACATTTTGATATTCCAAATTTAATTTTAATGGAAAATCATTGAACAATTATGTTTTGGTATCTAAATTTTTTGAGATTTCCGTACCTATAATTTTTTACTTTTACATATTGGTCCAATGTTTAGATTTCACTAGAATCCATGGATCCAATCCAGCAATCATTTTGAACCAATCCATGAATCCAATACACCATAACATAAAAGCATAAATTTATTTGTACCATACAAGATGTTGTATCATTCAACCGTAGGAGAAGATTCGACAATTTTTATATTTGCTTATTACGTGAAACATTAAAAAAATGATAAAAGAGAGATGATTCTAAAATATTGCAAGAGCGAATTTATAAACTCATTTAGTACATTTACGGGGTACTAAACAAACTTCTACTAACTACATGTAACAAAATGTAAAATGTTAGACATCTACATAATCAAATGCCAATAAATTGCTACGGTTAAAAGGGTTGACTATTGTATTGACGGTCAACTAAAGGAATTGGTCAAAACCTTTGCATCATCTACTTCCCCTTCGTTTTATTTTTCACTCGCCTTCCATGACCCTTTCTTTGTCTTCTTCGTCTAACCCTAATCAGTATACTATTTTTATGTATTCTAATCACAAGTATGAACGAGTCCATACACGACTGGCCAATAGTCTAGAGAATTAATAATTTAACCATGAACCACTAACTTTTTGTGCTCAATGTCGAGTCTAATTAAAAATATATATATATATATATATATATATATATATATATATATATATATATGGTTATTACTTATTAGAAAGTCGTCATTTTCCACTATGAAATTTGAAAGCATGAAATTTTATGCGAGTTCCAGTTTGTATTCTTTTTGCTTCTCTCTATAATTATTCTTTTTCTCTCGGGCTAGAATTTTCAACAATTATACATGAAATTTTCAATAATTATACATATCAAATAAATAGTTTTCTATTTTCTATAAAAAACAAATAATTATCATCTTAAATACATCATCATAAAAGGAATTAAGCCTCAACTATGCAAATTACACTTGGTTACCTAAATTTAATAGATCTTTAGATTTATAACCTAAATTTATTTTTTTGGCATATAAGTCGTCAAAATATTTATGAAATATTAAATTTTAGTACCTATTTTTTTTGTGTATTACATCTTAGTACGTGAACTTTTGAAGTTCTACAAATAGATCTAATTTTTGTATGTGTAATTAAAACCCTAATATTCATGTAGATTCCCTAAAGCTCGACAATTATGTTCTATTTTCATGTAGATTCCCTAATCTTCCTAAGTCGAGTTTAGGAGAAACTTACCCAAGCCAACCTCACTTTCAAAGAACCAGCAGAACAGAAACCAATATCAATTGGTTGACCCAGAATTAACCACGCTGAAAAACTTCACAAAAGCCAAATCTTACTATTGTCGATCGTCGTTGGCAAAACTCAGAGCAGGCGGCGGCGGGATTTTTGTTTCCTTTCCATTTTCACTACCTTCTACCCCTCCGCCCCAAAGCGAAACCAAAAGAAGTAAACAAAAATCAATTCAGAGATCGGATCCGGAAATCCAAAAGAAAACAACACAAATGAAAGTCTAGGGCTCTTACCATTCCGACTCACACAAAACACCACACTAGAAATCCCCTCTACCACCCAAGTTTTTAAACTCTAGAGGGGTGCATCATAGAACAAGTAAGTTTTAATTATCAACCCAAGCCTATCCATGTACCCCTACTTCAATCGCTTGGGTTGTTATATAGCAAGCAACTTTTGGGTTTAGAACTAATGAAACTACAAACTTAAACAAGCAAAGAAAAAGTAAATAAAGGAAAATTCTAACTAAGGGAGCTTTACCCAGGAGTTTCTTCCCCCCCTAACTAGCTACCATGACTCGTTGGATCGAATGGAGTCGTGTGGTGTAGGTGGTTGTGAACTGCGAGAGTGAGCAACAAGTGATCGATTTTTCAAAGAATAAATTTAATAGCGATCATTTGTCACAGGATCGATCCACTCACGACGTCTAGGGGTCTCTCCCTCAAACCGGAGTTTGAGCGGCTTAATCATGACCAACCTAGATGCAAACTTGAGTCAATGGGGATGCTCATCTCTAACATAGATAGTAGGCACAAAGTGCCCAGGAAAACCAAGCTTGTCAAGCCTACCTAAAAAGGTGTGGTTTGTCTCTAATCGAGATTAGGCAAGCACACAAGATTTGGAAAGCACAACTAAGCACGATCACCACGAAAACACCTCTAATAGTCAAATTGATGCAAACCCATACAAAATCATTAAATCTAAATAAGTAATTACAAAGTATTATTCAGGGATCTACAACACTCAAGATCTTCTTCTTGTTCTTCTAGGCTTGAATCCTTGTCCACCCAAGCCTCCAATGATGCTCCAATATCACTCTAGCACTCTATCTCTCTCACTAGAACTCCCCATTGGTGTTTTTGGGCAAACCCTAGAGAGAGAATTGAATTTCTGTCCAAAAACCAGCTCCCCCTTCTCTCTCCCCGCTTTTGCCTTCATATTTGCCCGAAAGTGAGCAGTTCACGGACGCGTTGGCCAGTTCACGACCGTGAACACCCAAACGCGTTCGTGAATCAATCGTCTCCAAAACGCAACTCTTCGCTTTCCTGGGTTCAAGGTTAATGGCCCCAGTTCACGGTCTTAGCGACCGTGAACTCGCCTGGCGTGAGTAACCTCTGAAACCACACTGGACTACTCGATGTTCACGGTTTCTGGCTCCAGTTCATGGTCTTAGGAGACTGTGAACTCCCTTGTTTGCTCACATTCTCTCCGCTCACCTCAGTTTCCCTTTCTCTCCGTCAGAAAAATCTTTTGTAAAAAATGTTTTGAGAATGTTTTTCATGTGCATACTAGCTTTTGATTTTGTATTAGATATCCACAGGTGTGCAAAGTTAATATGTGTATATTTTTGTGGTTGTGTAAGTTGTGACGGCTATGGCATGTATTAGTAAGGTATGCAGTTGCGGAGTATAAAACTGTGACTATGGCTTTGAAAAGCCAATGTATATGCTTATGAGTATATTTGTATGTCTATGGATGCAGGAATTCAGCTGAATTATTTTGCAGGATTTAGTTACAAGAACTGTTAGCCCATTATGCGAGTCATTCATATCAAAAATTTATTTGGGTAAATTTTGGTAGTTAATGTAACACTAGTTTTAAATTCCGCTGCAATTGTATGAACAATATGACTAGGAAAAACGTATAGGGTAGGGTGTTACAGTTTGGTTTCAGGGCTGGTTTGTTTTATGCATTATGGATATGTTACTTTCACTCTTGATAACTGATCACCCTCAAAAGGGGAGGGAGTACTCCATACCTGTACTTGCACAAAACTTGTCAGGAATTGAGACCGAAGGTGATGATGTGTTGCATAGTCAGTTGTATTGGTCAAATATGATTTTTAGCATTGGAAAGAATCTTGAAAAGGCTATGGTTGAAAAGGTTCAGGAATTTATTTCCCCTATCATCTTTTATTTCTCCTTTCCTGGACCTAGAGGAAACAGAGTGACCAGAGAGTGCAAAGGGACGCGAGGGAGAATTTTACAAAGATTGATTCTTGAGTTATAGAGATCCAAAAATCTCGTAAGTAATATCTTATCCATTCATACATCATAATTTATCGATTTAAACTTTTAAATCAGTTTTTGATTCAGGAATTTCTTGAATTCCCCATTAGCCAGATTAGCAAAATTAGGATTGGTTTGGTCTCATGGTCAATCACATAGTAATTAGGGCTCCCCACGCTATTACTCCATTATTGTATGTTATGTCACACCCCTGATGTGGTGTTGGCCTATGATCCTTCAGAGATATGTATACACCCAAAGTGGGTCGTGTATGACCACACCCAGAATGGTGTCAGGTCTGATGGCTACACCGACAGTGGTGGGTTTGATATGACTACATCTATGAGATGTTTGGTCCGTTTTCCAGGGAGAATTATTAGCATGGGAGTAGCCAGGAACCTATAAATAAAACACGATAAGATGCATGTGCATAGGTCAAGGTGGTTGAGTCTTTTGCCCATTGGGATATGAGGATGGATGAGGTCCGATCCTAGTCTTTTGGTTTTATTGTTAGATGTGTTGCAGAGGCATTCTTTGTTATGAACTCACGATGCAATGATTGTCTTACTCAGCCATGAGCTGACCCTCTTTTATTTTTTTACTCTGCTTATGCCATGTGTAAGCAGATGATCAGCAGTAGCAGCAACAATAGGATGTATATAGGTGTGACCAGAGCTAGGAGTTGAAGGCAGGACGAGGTATTGTCTTCAACAACGCTGTGTTTGGACGAATACACGAGATTTTAGCCAATG